AAATAAATGAGTATTATTTCATTGTTGCAAATCACTTATATGTTATTATATAAAGCTATGATGAAAAACTAACTGAAAAAACTTCTTTGCTTAATTCATTCTTTCTATAAAATGTTTAAATGAGAATTTTCAGCAGTAGTGTTGCTGTACATTTCTCAAAGATCAATTGATTTTCAATGCAGACCGTTAATAATGATCAAAGTCTATACGTCATTGCAAAACAAGTGACATTAAAAGTATCAATATTCTAAATAGAACGTGCCTAATATGGGTCCAGCCGACTCTGAATTATACACCATTTGGAATGGTCAATGCGCAGCGATCAAATTTTTAAGCTAGAACAAAACAACTGTTCAGTGCCCTCTGGCTTTCATAGTTTCATAGACATTGCCAACATTTGTAATTTGAATTAAAATATATCTAAGTTCAACATAAAAATATCGTCATCACCTTTATTGCACATACAGTCATTTACGACTAATATCTTCTCAATTCATCCTTGTCTATAACTTCAAACCAATTTCTTTTCGTTTCAAACACTTTATATTAAAATTTTTAAACTACTTTCTTTCTACTTGACTACTAACAATTCAGGTTGCAAGTAAAACGATCTACTGAACGAAAGCGATGAGGAAACAGTATTCCTTCTTAAAAGTATGCGAGAAAAATCATACTCTTAAATGACCAATAACATCGCTCACACATTAATTCCCTTCAGGAAATTTGTAATACTATGACATTTGTTCGTAATTTAATATGTCTATACCGACTTCTATTTCAACAAATATGCATCGGTTCAGTAAGTCAATCAGTAACAACGTAGAACGTCGTACCCACGTACATCAGTTCGAGACGCCATACCACATTAGCACAGAGACGCAGTTGTCTATTCAAATCCCGTTGTGGTAGACGTAGTAAGAATATAAGCAGTAATCCGAAAGATTAGGGTTTGAAGAAATCATTCAAGAAGTATAATCCAGTGAAACGAACTTGGAAAGAGAAAAAAAGGGACATAAAGAATTCAGAAGATTAGAATTCGGGAGAACACAAAGAGTGGATGCACCTGCGCTATTGAAAATGATTTTGAGCCATGTCATTCGAGGTCTCTAACCATCGGTTGCTATCATCTCGCGAATCTCAACCAGGTAGTCTACACCAACCAACACGACTGAATCCACTTGTCAGTGACTTCATGGATTTGTGCCGTGTTTTGGTTTGATCACCCCTAGCTTTCTTCCAACCTACTCTTACACCAGAAAACATCACACGTCGGGGCAGTCGGTGGTTGGACATCCGTAAAACGTGTCCTAGCCATCTCAACTGATGAAGTTTTACTACTTCATCAATTGACTTGGTAATGAAGTATTGTTTAGAAAACATAATCATATTTACTATTACTAATACTGTGATGTGTGCTACTGATGTCGACAGATATAAGTAGTATGTATCATCAATCGAAAGTGAAATAGCTGAAGACCGAAGGTTACGAAGATCAAAGAAACGAGAACGTGAACAAGGAATGATTTGTGTGGAAATGAAGGAACAATAAAGACGATGAACTGACATTTTACAAATGAAGTATTTACTGTATAGTTCGCAGATTTTACTAAGATATTTTGTCATTTTGTGTTCAAATACATTCGATTGTCCTCACTTCTGTTCTCGTTCACTATAATAATAATGATAGCGTTTTTGCTCCTACTACTCTAACAACTTTCTTGATATTCAAAGACAGAAAATTTAGAGAATAAACCTGAACAAATTCTCAATGAACTTTTACTATTAAATTTAAATCTGTAAGAATCTGATTTAAAAATAATATTCTAGTTATGATTTTTATTCCTTCTATCACATAGGTTACTATAGAAATCATAAAAGGTTAAAATACCCTTTTTACCATTTCTTACTTATCTCATAAAAATATATATATATATGAAAAAATAGATCCGTTATTCAATGAATAAAGTAACTTTTTTAAAAATAGAAATGTACTTGTTTTATCACACAATTCAATCCTGACCTTCACTTCCAAAAAAAGAAAAAAAATTCTTATAAGAATAAAAGTAAATCAAAAATTTTATATCTGATTGAAGCGCTAAAATCAATTGTATTTATATATTTATTAAAACAATAATATTATGTATATTGTAATGTATTGAATATAGAAATATATTTCAGGAAGTAAAAGAAAAAACAACATTTTTTCTATAAATCCCTTGCTATTTTAGTTTGTATTTCTACTTTCTTTTTATTTGTTTAAAAGAAAAACAGCTGATTCTTGATTTTGATAAGTTTTTATTGAAGAAACAATTCCAAGTTATCAAAAACTATCTAAAATTATATTGAGATTAAATGGTGGTTGGAGGTAATCGACAGGATATCCTGGACCCGGGTTTCGTGCTACTTGGTACTCTTCAGCAAGGTGTACCTGTAATCTTTGAGGGCACTGGTGCTCCCTGACCGATTCGATCCAGTGTCACTCAGCCTCACAGTCAGAGACGTTACCACTGAGCTATCCGGGCCGCGACTGACTTCCTGGGTACAAGGTTTCCTGTCGACTACCTCCAACCACCATCTAATCTCAATATATAGTGCACGCAGTGTCGAGTCACCTAGACTGGTGGCCACATTGCAACATGGTCGATAGCATTCCATCTACACTAAATAGGGACTTGACAAGCATGACATTGATCAACACCCAGTGATCAATCAACTGTGACTATATAAAATTATGGTTTATACAATAAAAAGAAAACTGAAATGTTTGAAAATTCTTTTTAAATTATCGGAATATTAATACAATGAAATATCAATAAATATGGAATTAGTATCAGAAGGGATTTTGGTGGATATTATAGTAATTTCAGTAGTGGAGATTATGAGTCAATTAAAGCTAGACCATCATGGAAACTCTGAAAGCGCTAAACGGCCGTTTTGTTCTAGTGTGGAACTTCTCAGTAGTGCGCATCCACGATTCCGCTCGCGGGATTCGAATCCAGAACCTATCAGCAGCTGAGTAGTTAATGCGATGGCGTTTGAAGCGAACGGTATTGAGTTCGAGTCCCAGAGTGAACATCAACTCTGCGATGCGAGTACATTTGTCTGACGAGTCCCAAATAGGACGAAACGGACGTCTTGGATTCCACTGCTAACCACTATGCATCTCTGATTAGAATACTTGTGACCTAAGGCACTATCAAGGCAATGAGCACAGCATGTATATATGACAATAAGAGACTGGTAATTTCAGTCCTAAACATCAACGGGAAGATTCAAACAAACAAGACAAAAATGAATTAGAATGATTACTATTGTAAGTATTATTGTTATTATTACTGTTATTACTATTCTTATTTCACCACTCATGCTATAATTAGAAATGCTGCCACTTTTCACTTACTACTAGATCAGTCATACCGTTTCCCAGAAACAGAAGATAACCAAAAATGTGAAACCTTAAATTGAAAAGTATTGGTTACTGTTGAAAGCAGCTTTTGTTTCTCTTAATTGACTGTAGGTGTGGTCATATAGTCACTGTAATCAACGTTACTGTTGCTTCGTAACAGAAAAAGTGAGTAGATCCAGAAGTAATACAATAACTATAAACATCTTCCTTGTTGACTTTATTATTGTTTGTAACAAATTTCCTTTCAGTGAATTGTATTTAAATGTAGACAGCATTGTGAAAGTCACTTACATTATTGTTAATTTCAGTCATAATTATTTAGGTATATGCCAAAAATAATGAAAACAATCCATATGCAAATGTTGAAATGTTAATCTCTCATCTTTTAAAACAAACATATAACTTTTAAGGTTCATTTTCAAATTTACTTAAATTTTCAATCCCATTTACTGAGATAATAACAATAATATCACTGAGATTATTACAGTTCTGACGAAAATTGTTTGAATTCTTTTACAGATAAAATCAAATGATCATAAATAAAATAATACTCAACACCAAGTCATAGAGTACCACGATACGACAAAGATTTGGAGTATCATTTATGGTTGACTCCATTCTGTTATCTGATAGGTTTCAGTGTAGTCTGTGAAATAAAAGAGGACTAACAGTTTAGAATTGAGAAAAACAATGAAACGAACCAATTTTCTGATTAGTAATAAACAAAAATTGGATTACTATAAATATTTATTAGTAAATAACATACAATTTCAGCTAATGGATTAATTCAACTTTATGTGTTCCAGATTACCACACAGATTAGTCTATTCTTTGAATTTAAGTATTTCAATATATAATTGACGATATTTCGATATGCTCAAAACTTAATAAGATAAAATTTATCAGGATAGCAATCATAGATTTCCAACCATCTGTATCATTAAAAATCTGGAGTTGTCTTTTTTTTTCTTTACATATAAACACTCTAAAAGCTTATGATGAATCAATGATAATGTTTCCAATTAAGTAATTAGAATTGTATCTATTTCGAGGATTCATGTGAATACACTAATTTTATGCAAATCTAATTAACATTCCTTTTAATTTTCGGTCTAGTTAAGGTTGAATACTTGTAGGCAAAAATACTCATAAATAAAAATTTACATTGAAGGTAAACCTTTATTACTGTTTTTATTTAGATATTTTTTTTCCAATGAACTTAGTAAATCGTTATTTCTGTTGATCACATTAGTGTCTATCATAAATTTTGTTGGATATCAAACTCAAACATTAGGAAACAAATCAACTCTCGTCATTCATTTGCTAAATTTCAAGTAGACTGAAATACATATTGTTAATTCTCTTGTTAAATATTACTCAAAAGTAAGTTAAAACAAAATCAGAGCGCTAAATAATGTGGATGCGTACAGTTGAGGAGTCCCATATTAGGATGAAACAGACGTTCAATGCTTTCAGGTTTTCAGTGGTGGTCTAGTTTAGATCGACTCAGAAATCCAACTATTAACATTAAATAATATGTCAATTGGTTGATAGTACAATTTATGGGAAAAATAAGATTGTAAATCATGCTTACCTGTATACCAAAACAGCCTAGTTGATGAGCAGCTAATTCAATTCTATTTAATGTTCTACCACAACCAGCACAATCAACTGGTACATAAGCGCATACATGTCGATGATTACCAAAATGTATTAATTCTACACTGCCAATAGTAGTACATCCACGTTTAGCATATTCACAATAGATTTGTAAAGAATTTAAAAAATTCTTTAATGCAAGTACTGGTCTAGCTATTGATAATAAATTAATATTTGGTTTATCATGAAAACAATAATTATTAATATGATTATTTATATTGTTTGTTGTATTTACGACTGAATTTATAGAATTATTTTGTTGTGAATTATTAACATTTAATTTTGTTCGACAAGTTGGACATGTAAATTGAAAACGTGTTCGTTCATTATCACTTATTGTTAAATGATTTAAATGTTCCAATTTTGAATTTAACCATATTTTTAAACAGTTAGCACAAAATGTATGACCACATTCTGTTACTACAGGTATAATAAATACACCATGACAAATACCACAGATTAGATTTTCATCAACTGGATTTACAAATCGATCAATTGGAATACCCATATTCACATTCATTCAATAAACTTTAAATTGTGATGATAAAGAATAAGTTTTGTACTATTCATGTATTATATGCATAAATAAATTTATTATTATTATCATTACCAATTCATAACAGTATATATTTGTAATACATCGTACTTATTTAGCCTGAAATGATACATTTGTTGATCAATGATTAATATTTCCTCAATACATTTACAAACCAATCAGATCAAAGTGTTAAAATTTATTGAATTACTATTGGCTGATATGTTAATGGAAGTAAACCAATGAAAAAGCTTTGAAGAATGTAACAATTTTTATAAATATGTATGGTGAGTAATGTTACATTTATATTAGTGAATACTGTAGCTTGGTACATAGAAATGAAAGAACTATTTTATGTAATATGATGTAACACTGACAAGTTTATATTTCTGTTTATTATGAATAACCATTGCATAATGTAATAAAACATTATGAAAACATTGTTGAAAGCAACTAAATTTAACTTATATCAAAATGATCAATTTAAAGAGAAATAAAGTACACTAAATTTAAATAATTACTCTTCCATACATGTTTTTTTTCCAATAATATGTTTGTTTCACTGGTTGAAATCATGAGTCAATTGAAGCTAGACCACCATGGAAAACCAGGACGAAACGGCCGTCCAGTGCTTCCAGGTTTTCCATGGTGATCTAGCTTCAATTGACTCATGATTTCAACCAGTGAAATTTCTAAAAATCTCCACAAAACCCATTCTGATAACAATATGTTTATTGTCAATTTTGTCTCGGGTAACTGTCAGTGTACAATGTTGCACATTTCCACTTATTAATTTGATACATATGACGTAGTTTTGACAAATTTAGAAATTTAATAGTCAATTAAAGCTAGACCGCCATAAAAACCCTAAAAGCATACGAAAGGCTGTTTCTTTATAGTATGGGAATCCTGAACAGTGCTCATTCACGATTCAACTCGCAGGATTGAAACCCAGCACCTCCAGTCTCGCCTGCGAACGCTTAACCTATTCAAATATAGATTCCACATTATTTTATAACATGTAAGCCATCAGCATTTGACTGGAATTATAAAAACTTTCACTTATCCTTTAAACTGTGAAACCTTTTAAACAAGTTCATATTTCTATTTTAATAGCTTCGGTTTTATCTCACTCAAGATCGGTTTTATTAAGTAGCCTTTTATTTAGTAGCTTATAATGATTTATTTATCACTGAAACGGAAAGTGTAAGAAACACTTTTCAAATCATTGTTCCCATTTCCCTAAAGTAAGTCATACTTGTCAAACTTTCAATTAAATGAGTTCGTAGAACAATTGTTCATTGATAGTTAAAAGTTCATTAGCTTTTACTTCTTACACATAGTTTATCTCACGTGGTAAAATAAAAACGCTTGTATTTTGAACGAGCTCTCAGGTTTAGCTACCTACAATTGGGTCTAACTAGTTACCTGCACTTGCAGTACGGTGTAAGTGAGAAAACGAAGTGAATTTTGTGTAGCAGAATTTAACCTCACATCAAGGGATGATCCTGGTTTGTCCAAAACTGTCATTACAACATAATATCATTAATATATATTTTTTTACTGTGTCCAAATACACCAACCAGAGAACAAGTGGGTCAAATAAACATATTTAGTCTTCTTTAATTTAGCTTACATATTTAAGGAACGATTGTCATGGACCTAATATTGTTGGTCTAAGTTACTCTATGCAGCTTTTCACTATTTCATTCTCTCCTCTTCACTAATAATTTCTAAAAACTCTTTTCATCATCCAACCGTTTTTGCTTAGTTGTATATAACAATGTGATGTGATTTTCATCTTATTGTTATCAAGAAAGTTCTGTTTGAAATCATAATTAATTCATAGCTATATCACAGTTGAAAATTCTAAAGCTTTGGATAGCTATGCATCCATGACCTCGCCACTGGAGGTCGAACCAAAAACATTCTTTCTTACTTATGAACGTTTGCCCTCTAGAGCCCTGCCCCACCATCCAGTCATATATATACTTAACTTTAGACAATTCACGGTATTTCATGACTATTTTTTATTCTCTAACACCCAGAATAGTTGAACTTGACTGATCAAAGCTAGCTAGTGTTGTGTGAATCGCACATTGAAACTAGTTACTAGTGAGGATACTTTTATTATCAGTGAAGTGTTTCATGAAGATTGTAAAATTTCCAGATTTTAAATTACGTACTGATTTTAGCGAAACCAGAACTGAAAGCTAGAAAGCACTGGAGTACCAAAAACTACAACGAAAACTCTAATAATCATTAGTCTTCAATAGTTACCTTAGTTCTGCCTAAAATATTTCTACAGACCAATCAAGTAAACGAATGTCTCTGTTGACAGACAAGTTTTAGAATGGATAAGACACATGGAAGAATCTTTACCAAATGCCAAATAAGAGAAAACCGTGAAGAAAATCGAATCTCGCGAGTTGGGATCGTAAATACGCACTGTTGAGGAGTCCCACAATAGGAAGAATCGACCGTCCATTGCTTCCAGGTTTTCTATGATGGTCTAGCGTTAAGTGACTCATGACCTCAACTATTGAAATATTTGTTTCACAAGAGAGTGACTAACACCGAAATATCATAAAAAGATGATAAACAATTAATGACGATATTTTCCGGAGATTCCGAACTTCATAGCATATAAATATGAGATCAATATTTAATACCTATTGAATGTACATTATTTTGATTAGAATGTTTTGTTTGTATGATCGTTTTTTTTGTCTACAACATATGAAATAAGATAATTAATCATATTGTTTTTTTTCATATCCAAACATATTTTGTTGTTACAGATAGAAAATATATCGATTTTATTGTTCCTATTTAACATAAATATGAATCACTTTAATCTATCCTACCTAAAACACACATACATTAATGTACTTCATTAAACTTGTTGTATCAGATTCACTATTTGAACAAATAGTTAATGAAATTATTCAGAAGAATAAGTTCAATCAAAAGAGTTCAACCAGGTCTGTTGTGAGATTGTAACCCACTGAAGACAATGGTGAATGTGTCGCTTAATTTCATAAATTGGTTGAAGTTAGAAATTAACACCGTTGGATGCCGGCCAACTCAATAATCTAGTGGTTAAGCGCTCGCGCGCGAGACTGATATATCCCAGGTTTGAATCGCGCGAGGCAGGATCGTGGATGCGCATTGCTGTGGAGTCCCGTAATAGGATGAGACGGCCGTCCAGTGCTTCCAGGTTTTCCATGGTGGTCTAGCTTCAATTGACTCAACCATTGAAAAAAGAGATTTAAAAAAAACTACCTGATTTCGGTGAATATCAGTTAAGTAACATGTTATTATGTTGTGTAGAACAAAATCATTTACATAATAGAGTAAGTGTAATTATTCCATAAAATATATTTCACAGAATGTTATTCCATCTTATTTAACCGGTAGATTACTAAATTGTGATTTTTTAAATAAAAAAGTAGTATGTAATTATAAATAATAACGTTGTTATTAATTTTATGTCGTTTGATAATTAATGATAGTTGATTTTCTTCAAACTAACTATAAGTGATTCCACATTATTTTGTTTAGTTTAGTTTAGCCATAATCAACAAACGACTTGTATGTCAGCCAGTCAATCAATCAGTGAACAGAATGATGAAATAAAATAGATAGTTGTTGATAACAAATAATGACGATTCACTGAAGCAAATTTTCTTTTAGATAACATTATTCACCCAAACTGTACAATCGTATATATTACTTATTTACTAATTCCTGTTACCCTTCGCGAAAGAGCACAGGCCACCCACAATCACCCTCCATCCAACCCTGTCCATGGCAAGTCTTTCCAGTTCTTTCTAGTTGTTATTCATCCTTTTCATGTGTGCTTCCAATTCCCGACGCAGTGTTTTTCGGCAGCCTTGTCTGCCGAACGCCTTCTCATAGTCAATGATGTTGATGCATAGTGACGAGTTCCATTCAACTGATGATCCGTTGTATCACGATTTGGTCTGTTCACGACCGATCTTTACGGAATCCTGCCTCTTGGTATTAAAGTTGAACGTCTACTGAGTCTTTCATCCAGTTGAGCAACACGGTTGAAAACGTTTCCTTGTACTGACAGTAATGTGATGCCTCTGTAGTTTTCACATTTACTCAAATCTGCTTTCTTTGCTATCTTGATGAGGTGTCCTTCTTTCCAATTTGTCGGTGGCACTTGATCTTCCTCCCAAATCTTCCTGAATAGAACATGAAGTATAATTGCAGTTACTTTTATGTCCGACTTCAGAGCTTTGGCTGATATATTGTCAGGTCCTGTCTGATGGACAATAATTGTATTTATCGTTAATTCAAATACTTAACTCTATAATAAAATAGAGTTCATTACATGAAAGATGATAGAAAATGTTTTCAAGTACCAATAAACATTCTGCATTAAGTCAAGTGGATAATTTCACTGCAATCACGAACCGATCAAAGTTAGACCACCACTAAAAACCTGGAAGCATTGAACGGCAGTCTCATTCTAGTATGAGACTCCTCTTAAGTGCGTCTCTACAACCACTCACACGGGAACCGAACTTAGGATCTTCGGTCTCGTAGATAAACAAACAATTTTCACAACTGACGGTTACCATGCTCTCACTAGTGACCAGCTTTGAGAACAAAATCCAAGTTCTGGTGAGAAGCCGTGACCAATGAAGCTAAACCAAATCGAGTGTGAGAAAGGTACTCATCAAAAACAGTGGAAGATGATAGGGCACTTTTGTGAACTGTTCGATGTTAGACTTGTATACCATAACTATCAGTTCATTGGCTGAAAGTTAAGCGTTCAAACGCGAAACTGAAGATCCTGTGTTCGATTGTCAGGTCATGGTCGTGGATATGCACTGCTGAGGAGCCCCATTATAAGACAAAACAGCCATCTGTGCCTTCAGGCATTCAATGGTTGTCTAACATTGACTAACTTATGATTAAATGAAATTCAACAATCTCAGCAACTCTATCCTGATAAATAGGTAATTGTTAAGTATAAGAATACTAAGGCTTTGTTGATAAATTGTTTGAAATCATCAATTATATAAAGGGAGTTATGTAACCATCTAGTGAAAAAAATTATTGAGATATTTTGTATAAGCTAGATAATAG